AGTTACCGGTACGTACGTGTAAGACGAACGTAGTAACGAGTACGTAGTACGTAGTTAAGTATAGTAGTAGTCGTAGTTAGTTCTCTCTCTCTCTCTCTCTCTCTCTCTCTCTCTCTCTCTCTCTCTCTCTCTCTCAATGTGCAATTCACAACCTTCGAAAATACAAAGGTTAATGTTACAATGAGTTGTGAGGGTGGATTTATGAGAGATGTGGTTTCTTTTTAAAAAAAAAAAAAAGTGACTTTCTATGGTAACTTGCTCATTAAAGAAGGGCTTATATGTAATTACCAAAAAACAATGGGTACTTTAGTCATCTTTGAAAGGGCAAAGTTGAAATTTTTAATATAAGCAAACATATTGTAGTATTCTACAAATAATGTTCTAGGAAACCAACTTCAAAAACACCATTGTACTTTAGTAAAAATTCCAAAATACTCTAATTAAAGATAAAATTACCAAATGAAAAATAATTTTCTAAATAAAAAGTAATGAATTTATGATAAATACACCCATCACAACCCATTCTAAGATTATCCTCTGTATTACAAGGGGTTGTCAATCATATATACATATGAAAATTTAATGAACCTAGATCACCTTCCATATACCTCTTCAAGCTCTGCCATGGATTGAGCAAGCTGTTGGTACTCATTATGATTTGAGACCACATCAGGATCAGCCAGCTTAACCTAAAAATTAAAACATGTAGTTTTAATTTTTATATAAGACCTTGCATATTTTCAGATTTACAACAAATAAACAAACATTGTAGGTAATTCAAGTTTGTAAACGGAACATCGTCAATCACCACATAAGACGTATGAAGAGCTTTTATAAAAATACAGAGTTTGAGAAACAAACTAGTTCTGATCCTTGAACTCCATGGAAAAGAAGTTCCTAAAAGCCCATATTTTAACAGCAGCCTTTGTGAAATATTTAGAATGACTGCCATTAAGAACCACAATCAATGAATTCTCAAGCTTGTGGCAGACAACGACTAAGACTTTCACGCCACAGATTACAACAACGTCACAGAGATTGCCCACTGCCCCCCCTCTTGATGAAAAACTCCAAGAAAAATTCAGGTCCTGGAGGTTATCCGAAAAAAAGGTACGTCGGCTTGTTTGGTGTTTAAAACAAACTTCAATGGTTCGAACTATTGGCCTTTCCCACCCAGGCAGCCGAAGCTTAAGGGACAAAGGATAGAAAAAAGCTCAGCTTGTTTTTGGGAAGAACTTCAAGGGCTTGAATCCTTGACCTTCTGTACTCAAACAAGTATTTACAGACTAAGCCAAATTTTAAGGCGCATCTTGCAGGCTTTCCAGGTCTTGTCCACGATAAAATATAAAGCAATTGTCGAGGGATTCACTGGTCCTATGGGGATAGAAGACACATCATTGCTGAGCCTCAGTACCATTAGTTGGGATGAAAATTTACACAAAGGTTCTATAACCCTCAACATCTCATTGCTTCCTTTATATGATTCAGGGAGGAATGACAAACTCTGAAAAGAAAGATCGTTATTTCTAAGAAAACCAAAGATTGATAGTTGATGAATAATAAAGGATGTTTCAAGGCATTATGCTAGTTTACAGATAGAAAAGCTAATTTTCGATTGGAAAGGAAGGCTACAGGCTTATAGAATTTTATGCCTCTAGAAGCACATATTGTCTATTTCATATGAGCTTTTCTTATATGTTGATGAAATCAATCCTTAAGAAGATGCAAGCTTCAGTATTGGAAGATTAATTTCAACTATATGTCATCCTAAAAGCATACCGACAATTCTTTCCATGTCTTCTCAGCGGAATCCAACTTTGTAATCAAATATGGTTCCTGCATGAAATTGAAAAAAAAAAAAAAAGGCTAAAGTAGATCAAAAGATGAAAAAGAGAAATAGATGAGCACTGTGGGCATTAAATTACCAGAAAAGACACACAAGATTTCTTTCCTTTTCTATATTTCAGAAAGTAGTAGAAAATTTTCCAAAAAATTGATTTCCTTGATATTATTGACATATCAAACGTATATATAAAGCATGAATAGAGAACCATAAATATATAACATATGCATGACAAAGATTGGAAATATTAGTACAGCTTCTACCGGCATATCAGATGAAAGCTGAGTTACAGTACTACTTGGAATAGATTTCATGCATTTTTAACACATGAATAACTAGGATCAAATATGTGAGTGTGTATAGTGTGACCTTCCTATGCTATCAATTCAGAGTTACACTGCCTAAAAAAAATCAACCCAACAACATCAATTTATAGGAATTTGATTGACAGATATCGCTAATATTAAGGAGCTTTATCATTTTATTTAATACTAACATTAAGATAACACCATGCTTGAATATTAACTTATTAATTGATATCAGCACTAAGTTGACGAAGAATGCCAAGCACCCCACCAAGTAGAACCTTATAATTACAATAACTAGTGAAGGACAAAATTATTCTTATTTTTAATTTGTGCAAAGGTTGTATATTTTAATTTTAAATTTAGGGTTTATTTTTAGGTTTTCTAAAAAAAATTTGGGATCCTATGATTTCTTTATATTTTTAGGATTTTCAAACTTTTAGAAAAGTGATTAGAGTGGTTGTGGAATCCAAGAAGAAAGGGGTAAAATATCATTACAAATTTTGTTTTGATTAGGGCTTCTATTTCAATTTGAATTAGTATTTCATGAGCTCCAATGTCTTTTATCATAAATAGGGGTCTATGTGTGGAATTTAGGATCAAGTTGAGTTTTGAGATATTTTTTCCGGTGTAACCAATGCAGAGCCAAAGCCTGGCTTGCAGGCTTCCTCTTTAATTTTCCAATCAATTGATTATTGGATTGTTTCTTCCTCTATAAGATTCTTTTTTCTACATCAGTAACATATCCAATAAGCAACTAAAAACATCACCCACCCCTTTTCTCGCCGCATTATGGTATTTAATCACATGATTATAACACTACTCTTGGCATGATGCAAGCCTAGCAGTCCACTTTCTCCAATTTTTTTAACAACATATAGAATGTTGGGCCGTCAAAAAATATATATCCAATGAGTATAGCAAAGATGAGGATATTGAGATGAGTGAGTGGCAAGACAAAAGGGATAGAATTCGAAATGAATACATTCTGGATTAGGTGTGGCACCAATCGGCGATAAGATAAGAGAGAGTAGACTTAGGTGGGCTGACCATGTGTGGCATAGAACTAATTTAGCACCTGTTATGAGGTACAAGTTAGATCAAATAGAAGACTCAAAAAGGGCAAAAAGTAGACCCAAAGGGATATGGTTGGAAATAGTGAGAAAAGATATGGGGACATATGGCCTCACTGAGTTTATGGTCCTTAATAGAGCAGATGGCAATGATGATTATGATGATATAGAAATAAATAAATACTAAAAATATTTTGCATTTAGTTATACTCGTGATGGTTTTCTTCTTATTTCGTGTAGTACTTGGCACACTATACATGCATATTCATGTTTCTCGGAAAATACATGTGTATTCATAGAAAGAAATATGCTGAATAACATTGCAAATGGGAGAAATATTGCACTCCCAATATAAACTTCAAATCGTTTATTACTCCTTTGTTGAATCTCATACTATTTGCAACTAAGTAACCAAAAGTTAGTCCCCTGTCAAACAAAGAGTATGACGTGAGATAATAGGAATTGGCAAAATTTATCAAATACCCATTTGAGATGAACTATTTAACATTCTACCCATGTGCAAATATTCCAGCTCAAAACCATGTGCTTTCTATGGGTATTTTGAAATTAAATCAAAAGACATCAGTAAGGTGTTAAATTGTTCATCTCTCATTGGTAATTTGATAAATTTCCCTATTAATTAGAGTTTAAACAAAGAAGCCCTGTAAAGCTGAGTGCCATCAGAATACAAGCAAATAAAAACAGCTCTAATAAGTTATAACTTACTATTACAGACATTATCGAAATTTCACAATAAACATAGCTCATTGTATTATGATTTAAAAATCCTAGCCCTCACACCCATGAACTACATAATATCCACCTCCTTAGAAGAAGCCTAAAGTGTACACTTAAGTCACTTCTGAGGACTCAACCCACTTCTTAACAATGCTTGATGTCGAAGTAATTTTGGCTATTGTTCTCTCAATAGTAAAGCCACTAGTTAAATTTGGAAGACCATAGCTAAAATTCTCATATTAATCCACCAGACAACTCTATTTACTCACGAATGGTTGAGAACCAAACAAAAGAGCAAATACATATTCTCATTCAAAATGCAAACCACTCATATCAATTACAAATAAATCTGAAAAATTCTTGCCTCGCAAAACCCAAAACGTCATTTCAAGGCGCATGGCAAATTCACAACAGGTGTGCAAAAAGTACAAATAAATAAATCATAACGCATTCCAACTGTAAAACAGGTGTGATACTGAAACCCTTATCAATGTAATTCAACTTACAGCCATGCAAACAATCCTGCTCTTTTTGGGTCGAAATTTCAACCATTTTCCTTGGTTTTTGTTGCAGAAACTTGGGAAAATGACGGTCTTTTTAGCAGTAAAAGGAATTTGAGGGATGGATAAGGAGGGCAAAACCCCCATTTTCTGGT